TTCAACCTGTTACTGTTTACATGCCCCAGTCGCACATGATCCGAATCTACCCAGTTATTACCAATATTTAAAATAATACTCAAGACCAAAAACAATTATTTAAAATCATACTAAATATTAATAATACCAATTTACAGTCTGAGTTCGATAAAGAAGAAAGATAAGTAAGTGACTTAACACATATTCAAAGTTGTTGAAGGCAGCGGGTTTTAATTTGAAGCCATGGTGAAGCTGACTCTAAAAGGAAAGGAAAATGAGGTGGCTGAGAGATATTAGCGATGAATTAGTTGCAGAGAGAAAGAGAAGATCGAAGAATATTTTATATTTATTTTTATTTAATTGATTTATATTTAATTATTTATATTCCCCACACAATACGATTCTTGACAAAACACGCGCGCCCGCGCACAAGACAAGTACACAAATGACTTGTCATTTAAGTTGTATCATTGGAAGGGTTCGTATAAGAATGTTGGTGGGGTGGAAACTTCAGACGTTGAAATGGGTGAGTCTGATATGGTGAGCCGCGTCCTGGGTCCTCACCTGCTTTCCTGCTTCTCTCTACCCTTTATCCACGTACTATTATCCTCACTCTCATGCATCACAAAACCTAAGAATCACTCATTGATTACAAGTTATGTTGTAATATGAAATGTGAACTGAAAATCACTAATGTCAAGTTAATACTTTTCTTTTTCACGTGTGTCATTTCCTTTTTCTTTATCTCTTCAATGATACCATACAATTGATCCGTGATTATAAATTATACAAAGCTGGGACTTTATTATTAGCTTGAACTTGTGGATGCGTACTCCGCGAGTGTGGACGAAGAGGGTTTGTTTGGATTTAGGACCTCTTAATCCCCTTTCTAGTTTATATATTGATTGCAAATAATGGGACACTGGCGGCCGTTTGATACTATTAAGCCTTCAACCTTACAGTTGCTCTTTGACTTTCACTATTATATACTTGCTTCAAAAAACGTCTAATATAGTGACGACATTTGGATTTTTTTTTAATTCTCCAGTTAATTTGTTAATAAATATCTTACTTTTTCTAAGAAGGCATAAAGGCCAACGAGCATATATGCCAGCCATTACTGATTCGTCCTTCTCCAAACTTCTCAACCAATCCAATCAGGCCGTGTGGCTTGCACTAGTTGGAATAGTCATTGCTGGTCACTCAATTATCTAAAGGACGCCGCTAAAGAATACTTCAAACCTTGCGTTTTTTGTTTTTTAGCCAACGGTATTTCAACTCTCCAAGATGTTCAAAATCGTCTTTTGTCACATCTTGAAATTTGCTGTGGCAAAAATACTTTACCATAATGTACCTTTTTTGTCAAAAAAAAAATCAAAATCAAACAAATAAAATGTAAAAAAGCAGGTTATTAAAAAAATATGAATCTAGAGGTTCCACCTTGGCGTGAATATAGAGCGGAAATCAATATATCGTTTCAATATCAACATGAATTGTCAATTTAATATTCAACTTTTACATTATTGTCATGAATAAGCTTAGATTCTTGTGCAATCCTTTGATTCCTTTTTATTCTTTCAACTTTATACATACATTTTATTAGTGTTTTAAACGTTGAGAAAATGGGTATATATTTGAAAAAAAAATACCATATAATAAAATAAAAAATTTAAAGAGAGTTACTCGATTTATAAGACAAAAATCGTATAATGAATACATATATACTTTTTATCTCTTTCAGTTTTTTAATTCTTACAGTTTTGTTAACATATTTTATTAGGCTATGCACAATTAATTAAATTTATTTTTTAATATTTAAACATTAAAAAATGCGAAGACTAAAAAAAAACACTGTAAGATTGAAGGGAAAAATAGTGTCTGATATTTTAGGGTTCGTTTGGATTTTAGTTGGGTATAATAGATTATGAAAATAATTGATTAAGTGGTAGATTTTAATTATAATTGATTATGTTATAACGTAATTTGTTTGGATACTATTTTTTTAAAATTAATTTTAACAGAATTGAAGATATTTGGATAATTTAATCAAAATTAATTTTTAACTATATAAATTACTATATAATTTAATTTTTAAATATCAAATATTAATTTTTTAAATATATAAAGTTTAAATTTTATTAAGGAAAAAAAAAGAAGAGAGTTTAATTTTATTTTTATTAAATTATGTGCTTTCTTTGTAATTTTTTTCCTAGGCCTGTTTTTGTAATTTTTCCCAACGTTTTTGACAAACTTTTGGCAAAAAGCGGACGGAGGGAGCTTCTGAAAAAACGCGCGTTTTGGCCCGTAATCGATTTTTGATCATTTTCGACTGTTTGGATAAATTGACAGAAAAAATTAATTTTAAGTCCAAAACGTAGGTTTTTTCCTTATTCAAATGGTCACTTAATGGTAAACGCAGTCAACAACGCTTTCTAGATTTGACTTCTAATTGAACTTTGAAGTCCTGGTTTGACACTTTCTAGTTACAACAATGCCATGTCTGTCAGCCCCAAAACTAAGATAAGAATAGAAATAATAATAGTTACCTCTGATGATATTGAATTAATAATAATTAAATTTTTAATAATTTTTTAAAAATAAATTATAAAAATTGACTCAAATATTTATAATTTAAGACTTATATTTGAAACTTAAATGCTTTAATAGCAATTGAAAGTCATGAATTGACAATTGACTCAATCTATATCATCAACTTATTTTTTTGTAATTTTGGATTAAATGGCAATATAGATCTTAAACTATAGATTTAAGGATGGTTTAAATTTCAAATTCATATTTAATATATTTTAAATTTTAAATAATTAAATTTAAAATAATTTCTCCACCATTAATGTTAGATAAACTTTTGTTACTTTGTTAAATAGTGAAGCCCCCATCACCTGATTATTGTCTCTCTCCTCCTCTCCTTTTACACTCACTTACACTCTTTCGTACCCTCCTCATCGACGATCCCACTGTTCAAAAAAGTGATAAACATTGATTTAATAATAACGGCAAGAGTAAAATTATTCTAAATCTAACTATTTAAAATTTAAAATATATTAAACATAAGTTTAGAGTTTAAATTTGTCATAAACATATATAGTTCAGAGTATAAATTGAAATTTTAATCAAAATATTTTAAAACTTAAATATTATTAATTTAATATTTCAGAACTAACTTTCACGTGACAATAATCATCAATAATGCCTTGGCCGGCTTATGTAATCGCTCTGCTCACAAAGACACCCAAAATATGGAAATGGAACCTTCGAAGACAAGAGGGCAGGTAAGCAACTTGGCTAACGAGAAAAAGCAAAGAATGAAGTAGCTTGGCCATTGGACAACACATTAAAATCTATTTATTGGCGTGACGTTTAGGTATTGTACGAGTATGGCTGCCCATCGCAGACAAGATTTTTTGGAAAAATCGTATTATATGTTATGAATGGGTAAATGTAAAAATAATAAAATGTTACTCTTAACTCTTAAGTATTTTCTGATTGCTCTGAAAAAAAGATCGATCAGGGAGAGGAAGAAATGGAAGATTTGACAACTGTAAGGTCAACGTTTTAGACACGCTCCGCCACATGAGTTCTAGAAGAACAACCTAAGATGTGAGATCCATGTCAATGATACCGCAAGTTACGCAATTCGGACGTCATTCCAGTTATTTCTTCGACCCTAAATTTATAGCTCATCCCTTTCATATTTATTGTTCTTTCCTTTCCTTTTTTTTTTTGGGTTCGCAAACCTTTTTTTGGGAACTATAGCTATTTAACAATTATATTTTTCTTTTTATTTTTCATCTTTTTATATTAATTTATCTTTCTTTCACTCTATCAAATGAAGGCATTTTAGTCAACTATATAATATATTATAGTATTAATTAAAGATTTCTTAATCTATGTGAAATACTTTAAACAATAATAATTTTTGACTGAAGGTGGCAAAACCGAGTAAGAATGTCTTTAAAAAAAAAAAGTAATATATGGATCACTTTTCTATTATGACTTAATAATTACATAGATCTTCCCTCTAATTTGAAAATACATATAAACCTCCCTTAAAATTAAAAAATATGTTACATAAACCTCCATTGCATATTTCAGGTTTCATTTTCATCTATCCAACTGCTAATTGACCATTAAATTTGATTTTTAAACTTTAATTTAACTAAGATGTCCCTCTTTAACATAAGAATTTTCTACAAATCTATATTTTCTAAAAAAATATATTTTCGTACAATTAGAAAATATAATAAATAAATTTTCTAATTCTTATTATATTATAAAATTTATTAATTTTATATCATATAATTTTTTTATTTTAATTTTTATCAAATTTATTGAATCTTATTGATTTATATTTTTTAAAATTGCTAAAGACATATTTTTATTCATCACATGAAATAAAATTATATTAGTTTGAGAGATTATATAAATAATTTAGAATTTGTAAACATGTTTTTACCATGAAATTATGTAACTATCAAAATAATATAATTTGGGATTTACTAGGGTGAGGGGTAAATTAGTAAATAAAATTTTTTGTAATATAAATTTTAACTTAAAAATAAGTGTTCAGAATTTTTTAAAAATATTCTTGACAGAGATAATGGATTGAACTAAAATATATGTTTTTAAAATAGAAGAAAAGTTTATGTAATTAAGGCAAAATAGAATGATGGTTTGAGTATTTTACTCTTAAAATAAAAGGCATAACTATGTAAGGTATTTTACTTTCAAATCTCCATGGTTTTTATAAAGTACTAATTACGTGGAAGACAAGACGAACGATTTTACGTGTGTTCCCAATAGAAATATCTCTAGGTTGTGTGCTCTTGTAATGGATTGAAATGGAGTTTTATCCAGAAGCTCCAAACCATAACAACATTGATCTTCATTTGTGATAAGGTTGGATGTATTTTGTCCCTATTTGAACACGAACGTATATTCTAGCCAAGCAACCGAACATCGTAATCCAATATCAAAATTATACATACACAAAAATTCCATAATACTCAATGGTTCTTAACCAGCCAATCCATATATTTCTTCGGCACTCTGGGTGTGTTTTGAGAGTTTAGTAGCAGCTAAAAATTTTAAAGAAGTCTTGTAATAATTTACAGAAGTGCTACGTACTACAGGGCAAGTCTAATGTTGTGCAGTGTGCACAATGAAAATAATCCCGAATGAATATAAACAACCTAGTTAACATAGAATAGAAGAATGAACGAATGGCCCAAAAAGTACAGAAGGTGATCAGCACAAGGTAAGATCAACGGAAGGAGCCTTGTTTCCGAAAAGCAACTTCAAGTCGTTCTCGAGAGGGGTTAAGTTCAAGTCCAAGCACATAACCCTCTTACTGTTAGATCTCTTGAGAACAGGAACTTCAGAAACCACCTCAGTTATAGAAGCAGAGTCTTCGTTCAGGGCTGCTCTGTGCTTTCTCATGTGGCCTCCAAGGGCTTGTCCCAGAGAGAATCGCTGGCCACAAATAGAGCACTGGTGCTCCCAATTGGGTTTTCGTAGGTCTGCTTGGGAATCAAGTTTGGGCTTCTTGTGGCTGGCTCTGTGACCTCCCAGCGCCTGAAACGACGAGAACTTGCGGTTGCAGGTCTTGCATGCAAATTCTTGACGTACTGATGGGATATTGTTGAGGAACTTGTGCTGTGGTGGTGCTTGAGAGAGAAGCATTAGAGAGATTGCCAGATCTAGGCTCTCTATGTTTCCGTTTTGTATCTGTCTTTTCATGGAAGAAATGCGAACGTGAGGAGTAGCGAAGTGATGGAGAAGAATGGGAAAAGGAAGAATGTTATGAGGTGAGAAACTATGGAGCGTGTGGATGGGTATATGTAGAATTTTAGGCATGGCGGTTGGGGTACGCAATGAAGAACTTTCTACGACAATAATAAAGATAAGATTTTGTGGGGTTGACGATTTTGTAATGACGAAACAGCCCTGCTTACTTAATTGCTTACGGAATAGAGTATTAAATTGTCGTTTCTAAGGCGCGTGGATGCAGTTTAGCTCCCGAGGGAAGCAACGTGGGCCGCAAGCAGCTCTTCCTTACAGGGATGCTTTACTTGCGGTAAACTTTTTTTTCGACCAGTTATATGAAAGATTCCATCTCCATGAAAACTTAGAATAACATAAAGAAAAGGCCAAGAACCTTCGTGAGAAGAATTCATATTATATTGGCTTGCCCTGTCCCAGAAACATCTCAATCTAATGGGAAATTCAGCTATGGGAGAAAAATCAAATAAGAACGAAGAATAATACGCTCTACAGATTACCTAAAATTCTCCTAGGCTATGGGAAGAACCAATTGGCTTCATTTCACGTTGAAACAACATAATAGGGAAAAAGAGGAGTGGGAGCCCATCAGTCGATGAGCTTCTTTCCTAGAACGGTTGAGCTGAGTCTCGAGGCAAAGTCAATTGACGTTTGCAAAGGGGGTTCGATTTGGAGACGCCACTGTCAGATGCGGAATTTTGGAGTCTGCTTGGATCCATTTGGATCTCTTCTCTGAGGCGTTGTCTTCTTCAGTGACTTGTGTTCTCATCTCCTCGATAGATGCATGGCTGGGCACAGCTATTATTCGTTTCTTTGGTGTTAGTCCTGAATGCTCATCAACCTGCTCTCATACATAACGCCAACAAACACCTTAAATTTAACTCATTTCACAAGTCACAACGTAATATATGTGTGCACATGGTATAACAGAAATTCCATATTACCAAGTAATCTTTTTCAAGGCACTTTTCTGCTCGGGTTTGGATGCTTGATATGCTTGCACCATGCTTCTCTTGTACAGAATGGAGCTGTTCTGACCACTGTGCAGTCATAGAATCAATTCCCTTCTTGTTCTCACGATCCAACATTAGTGAATCTGAAAAGTGTGCAAGTTTGTTTTTCCTCGTATGAGAGAGTTCTCGTGATAATATAACAAGAAAGCTGCATAATAGCACTAATGCAAGAACTTTAGAATTACCATTTACAGCTTCCACCAGATCATGGGTTCCAGCATCATAATCTGATTCCGTACGTGATAATGCAGACACAAATTCTTGATTCAAAGCATAGTTTGAGTTTATATTTGCCCTGGCCACAAATATTAAAGAAGTTTAAGAAAATAAAAATTTTTAATCGTCATCATATCAAATATAGTACGCCAGCAAACAGAACTAACTTTACTGTATTTTCTATCTCTGCAAGATTGTTCTCGCTGATATCGTTCAAGGAAGTCTGCGCATTTTCCCACTGCTCCCTTGCATGATACACTCTCTTTGAGCTGCACATACCATGAGAATTGAGTACAAATCCATACTCAAAGACATGAAAACAAAAAATTACCATTTAGATGAATCACAATCAATGTCAAAGGACATATGAGAACAGATTCATACACAGCAAAGACATCAAATCAAGACTCTCACCATTGAGATGAAACATAAGCAATGTCTACGGGACATTAAATCTAAATTCCAACCATTGAGAGTAAAAAGCAAGTTGCAAACATTCTAAATCAAATCATTCATGAATACTCCTCCTTGTGTACCACGTTTAATAAAAACAAAATCATTTATTTCAAATTCAACTTGAGTACAGTTATCATGCACATGTAAGGATTTAATAACATTCAGCTAACGGAGGACGGAATCACATTATTGATAAATCAATCATAATACCACACTACCAATGTTTTGCGCAGAGGTATCCCATCCAACTAATGAAGGATAACTTCAGAATATCGAAATATACAATTAATTTAACATATTGTAACAGAGAGAAAGAGAAAGATGAAAAGGACGAGGAGGAGGAAGATCAGAAAGAAATAAAGAACGAGAGATGAAAACTAACCAATCTTGGAGACAATTTTCCATTAAAGTTTTAGCATCGCTTGCAAAGACCGATTGTACCGTGAAATGACTTTTTACATTCTCTACATTTTTACCAACTTCCTTTGTAGCATCTTCTGAAATTTTCTGCACGTTGTACATCTCGAGCAGTAATCTTTTGGATTGTTTCAAGCTTGTGTCTTGCATATTTCTTGATGCCTCAGAGACCTAACCCGTAATGTTTCTCAAGTCAGAGAAGCACTACATAGATACTTCAACGAGAAGAAAATAAACGAAAACAAAACAAAAGAACAATGCCAACTCACCCTAACATTTCTATTAGATGTCAAGTTTGCTAAAATTGCCACTATTTTTTCCAAGGCCTGCTCTTCCTCTTTAGCAGCCTCTTCCTGTTAAAGGTTAAAGGAACAAAATTAACCAAATCCCAAGACAGTCGAGTATGCATTGAGATAACAAGCTCAAATTTTGCTTACCTTGAACAACTTCTCAAACTTAAGTAATTGGTCGGTTCTCTCATTTTGAGTTTCTTCAATAATTTTCACCGCTCTTGAAGAATGCTGTTGAATGTCATCAAAGAAGTTCAAAGCTGCCTCTGAAATCAGTTGTGCTGAAATCAGACTCTGCTTTAGTCCCTACATTTTTCATGAATAGCAATAACTCAATATGATGCACAATGAATTCGCTCAAATACAACGCAGCCAGAAAATGAATTCTGGATATAAATGAAACCTACCTCCTGTTGTTGTTGAATGGAGAATTCTAACAGATGTTTTTGCTCATCAACAGAATTCTGAATGCTGTATATAACATCCTTACCCTCAAGCACAGCAGTGTTAAGAAACTGAAAGAGGACACAGCGCAATCAAACTAGGAACATAAATTATATTCTTTTGAGTTCTGGCATCCTATGATTGATAAGCTTCAGTACAACAGGACAAACTTTTGACTTACACTCTCAGCAGCCAAAGTCTGTGATGACACTTGGGATTGGATCTGCTCCATATCAGATGAAACTTTTAAATGAAATGTGTTGGCTAGCTCCTTCAGGACCCCTGTTCCTGAAGCATATATCTCAGTCATTTTCTTGATCCTTGTTTCTAATGCTTGAGCTGCCTGGAGAACATTGTTTCAATTAGATTATTAGGGTGAAAAGAACAGGAAAGAACTAAAATAGTAAGTGAAGCAATTTTCTTCTGCTTTCTTACTTCAATTTTACTCGCAAGATGAGAACTGGCATGGTCTTCCATGCATCTCAGTTGTTTCTGCTGTTGAGAAATTGACCCCATGATCACCTCATGTAGGTCTCCTAATCTCTGTCTCAGCAGAGAACCAAAATTCAACATCATTTTCTGATTTTCAGCCTCCATCTTGCCTTTCTTATCTGCAAGGACGAAATCCTCCGAAGAATTAGACTACAGCCTTGGCCATTTAAGATGTGAATGTGAACGTGCAATTTCTAAGAAAAATGTCCCCTCATGAAACATGATGTAGAGTACTTAAGAAAATGCTTTTAAAATCAAGGACAAATTTGGATTAAAAAAATGGAGGGATAAAGTTGCCATACCCAACTTTAGGGACAGTGAATCAATATCATTTGATGCATCCTGCAGATCTGTACACAACTCCTTTGCACGCTCAATTAAACAAGTTTCTGTTTACTCATAGAAGAATACAAATCATATATAGTGAGAAATTTAGAATCTAACAAACAGATATAAGAGTTTCCTTGTTGAGTGCCACAAGGAACTAACCTGATTTCAATAACTTGGAAATTGTAAACTCCTTCTCCTTCAAAGTTGACACCACTTGACTGTAATTCTCTTGGAGATCATGCAAAGCACTGCTTGTTTTCTCCAAATTTACCTAGCAGAATAATTTGATTGAGACCAAATGTCTGAGAGGTTATAAACAACAACAACAACAAGAAGCCTTTAATACCCTGCAGTCCTTAAGCTCACATTCCAAATCTAGCTTCTGTTCTTGTTCCTTTTGGTAGAGTTCCCGGAACTTGTCCACTTCCTGAAGATATAAGGGGAAATAGCTATGATAGATAACTAGTGCCAATGAAGGTAGACAACATGCAATCATGGATTCCAAGTAATCCTGGATTCCAAGAGTACCTTCTCACTAAGACTCAGGTCACTCTCCAATTGCTCTATCTTCTCATTTCTTGCCTGCAGATTGTAGCTAAGAAAATCATGCAAACTATGGGCAACCAAACATGCAACTTCGACTCAAGAATAATATATAATGCAACAGTCTGACCAGCCATTTCGTTATTAGTTAGTCCTATAATCCACAAAATTGTAGTTTCCCTTGAAATTCAGATTGCTCAATCATCTGAATTGCATAGCTATCCTCAATGAAACTCCCAAAGTACAATATTAAAATGCTGAATATCATTAATAACGTTATGGTTTGAGATACTTGACTTGTATTAACTATGGGTTTTGTTGTTTTGTGCCATAATCTAATTAATAATTAATAACATGCATGCATTTTATTCTTTTCAACATTGCACGTGTTGTAGGCTAGTTTTACGTTAAAAATACTTTGATGTTGAAAGACAAATTAACAACCTTCTTTTCCGCTTCCTCCCTGGCAAATCTCTCATGAGGAACATATACACCATTCTTTTCTCTTGCTGCTCGAACATCTGCACTTCATATTCAGTTATACAATGCCGTGAGCTTTTTAGATCACCCTTATGTATACCCAAAAAAATCAGAAAAATCATGGTGAATAGTAGACCTTCTTTCATTCTCTCAATTTCCATGTACAAATCCTTCAGCAAAACAGCCTTCGAAAATTTTTGGTTTGCCTGCAAATAATAAACTAGAGCTTCCATCACCAGGTCAAAGAAAAATAACTGCACTTAAAAATCCATGAGACCACACAACAGGTGAAGCTAACCTCAGGCTTATTCTTTATGTTCTTTGCACGACTAGCATAATCCAGTGTGCTTAATGTTTCTTCCATACAATAAGCAGATGGTGAAATAGTAGCAATTATGCATGTTTTTGTTTTCCCTCCTAAAGAGTCTCGTAAAATCCTTGTAAGCTTACTATCCCTGGAACGAAAAACAAAATGCATGAATATTAAGGAACAAATCAAGACCTAAATGCATGCATTATGGTTGAATTAGGTATTTGGGGGAACCTATAAGGTACATGAGCAGAATGCTCCACAAGTGCATTTATGACCCTTCCAAGGGTGAGCAAGCTTTTGTTTATCTCCCCTGCTTCTCTTGCACGACCCTGCAATTGAAAATTGTTATGTATATAGAAATTAAGAAATTATTGCAAGCTTACTGAAGGTCTAAATGCAAGAGGAAAAAATGAGAGAAAACTATTGTCATGAAAGTCAAAGGAAAAAAGGGAAGGTATACAGACGTAATGGGGTAAGATGTTCAAACTGAACATGATACTAGTATCAGTGTTTTGCCTGTTGATGAACATGCAATTAATGAATGATCAGGAATGCGGAACTTTGCCTATACCTCGCGTGCTCCTGAACGCAATATATTTTCTGAACCTGCCAAATCAACAAGATTAAGCTTGCCACATTTAATCAATTCCTCACCACCAACGACTGCTTCTTTCACGTAGATGGTAATTGTTAAGACTGAATGTGAGCGACTGCACCAAAATAACATGATTAGGTGTAAAAATGGCATCTACTTGCTCATAAACTTTGGTAAATTAAAAGGAAACCCACCTGCTTCGCTTGTTAAGCAAGGTCTCTGCTGTGCGTCTTTTTGATGCCCCGCGTTCCAACAAGGCATAAATTTCATTTACTCCATACACAGATTCTTCTTCAAGACCTCTCACAACCACACAGCCCTTCCCATCTTCCATGAGAGTGGGAGGTTTCTTTTGCTTTTCTTCTACAGACCTAGAGTTGTCTTCCGGGGCCAATAGATCGGTAATTTCTTCATTATAAAGTTCAAGAAATGTCACTTTCATGGTATAGTCAGCATTCTGTGACTCCAACATGTCAAAAATTTGGCGAACTGCCCTTGGAATAACACCAGCCTCGACTGGTAAATCTCCGCCCTATGTATCAATTATGGCACATGGCATACTTACTGAGATAAAAAGGATACATGAACATAATGAGCTAAAATAGAAGTGTGATGGATAATAAATTAGTACCTTGTTTCTCATCCCACCCTCCATTGTATATGTTTTACCAGTGCCTGTTTGACCATAAGCAAAGATAGTGCAGTTGAATCCATCAAGGACTTCATTAACAATTGGGGCAATTGCTTGGTCATATATAGATCTTTGTTGTGCTTTGGGCCCAAATACCTTACCAAAACAAAGAAAATATTGACTTGAGGTTAAGTGGAATCACTACTCAGCATATGTCATAGCTAATATCATAGAGCAACATACCATCACTAGGTAAAAGAAGTATACCTTGTCAAAGGCAAAAACTCTCTCTACTTGCTTGTTAGCTAGAGTTTGTGTAACGTTGACTTCTTTTTTATGCTCATTACATGACACCACGCTGGGAACATTCAACCTTAGTTCATCATCGCTCAACGGCCTGATATTAGAAAATAATTAAAGATTGAAAAATGATGGCGATTTTACACCTCCAGATTTTTCATCAAATCCCATCAGCATGCACACCCAAATTCCTGTATTACTATATACAATATTGAGTGAATAATTTTACAAGCTGTGTAACTCAATCATCCCTATAATATTTTGATTACAGCTCAATGTTCTCAGATAAAGAAGGAAGAACGGTTCACGAAGAGGCAAAACAGAACAAAACAAAAACCGCGTACGCAATGTAAAGGCTTTTAGAAGTTTAAGCATATGCAAGAATCAGGAGGGGGGAAACGCAAGAAGTCACCTGCATCTAAGCAAAACTTGCACATTAGTCTCTTTATCCTTGTCCTGACGGTTAGGGTTCCAGTCAGAGCCTCTTGAATCAGGTCGCCGCCGCTCTGGGCGCGGAGTGAGAAATGGAGATGGAGATGCTGAAAGTCCCAATCCCACCTTCTTAGATTGATCAGGCGTTACTGACATCATTTTTCTCTTTTACAATAGCCTGCATGAGAAAAAGAAGATGCCCCCATAAGCATAATGTCATAGAAATGGTAATCTCTGTGACATAGCAAAACTCAGATGCAAATAAAACATCTCAGATGGAGCGACAAGGTAGATTCTAATTGTACTGAAAGCTCAAATTTCTCAGCAACCAATGAGAACTCAGACATGAAGTAAGAAGGTGAAAGAACAAAGAAAAAACATACAGTGCTCTTGGCTGAGAATACACACAGAGGATCGGAGAATCTGAGAAAAGAGTGATCGGAAAGAGATGCTTTTGAGTTTTCCTTTTTACGATTTGAATAATGCCCCGACTTCGTAGTTCTACTTGCTGTTGAATTTCGGTGTTCAGAAGCGTAGTTTCAAAAATAAAAAATGAGGGAGATGCAAGGGCAACGGCTAAATGAGAGTATATGTAGGCCGAGATAGCCGTTAGAGTCATGCAGAGATGCCCAGCGTCGGGCGGAACGTGGGACCCCTATCTATCAGAATTTCAAACTAGGAGCTCCCCTTTCTTCTCCGACTCTTGCTTTTTCATTGGGTCATGTTATTGGGCTGAATGTCACTTTCAATATTTACTGCCATTTTTACATCTGTAGTCAGTGGAGAATAATCTACTTCTGCATTCGAACATAACGCATAATTATTTAATTTAATTAGAATTAAAATTTCACTTATACATTGTATCAAGAAAAGAAAATCACTTATACAATTCACAGAATGTAATTTAATCACTAAAAGAATTGAAATAAAAGTATGATCATTAGTGCTGCGCAAGATTGAAATAAAGATGGGAGTTGTGCTTGTTCTATACTCCCTCTATTAAAAAATATTTTACATTTTTTAAAAAATTAAATGTTAAAAAATATAAAATATTTTAAATTTTTTGAAGTGTAACTATTGACTTTTTTTTAAATTGTCTCAACTTTATATTTATTATAAGATATTTAATAAAAATAAATATATAAAGATAGGGTTAATTTAAAAATAAATAATTATTTTATTAAGGAATAAAATTCAATTACAAATATTTTATATTTTTTTTAACGAAACAGGGTAACTACATAGGACCTTGACTTTCATATCCCAACATATATGTTATGATCATACAGTAGATTTTCGTTACTACATTGAAATGTATAACAAATTTTAATAATTACTATCAACGAAATATGTTTCATAAGAGTTAATCCTAAGGAACGTTAGCCAAAAAAAAAATCCGAAGAAACTGCAACTGAATTTCGACAACTATTTTTTATGGGATCAATTTTTTATATTAAAATTAATATTTAATAACTACCAAGAATTTCAAATTCGATGTGATTAACTTGATTTATTAAACCGATCAGTCACTTTTTTTCTTGTGGTCCACGTAAGTTAATCACAATACACGTAATTAAAAATTTGTCCAATGCTCGAAATTAATTATGATGTAAAAAAGGATGCGCATTTATTGGAATAAATGCAGACGGCAATTCATTTTCCTAAGGAAGCCGTCAATGCAATACAACAATAAATATAAACCAGTCCCAAGCTAAATAGTGAAGTATTGAAATCAATACAAAGTGAGTGAACTAATTTTATAATACAGAGAGCTGGAAAATCCAGAAAGGTGTGAGGATTAATTAACCATAAATATCAGCAAAAACAACAAATTAAAGGGGTAAATATCCGTAATAAACTACTTCAGCAGGGCCCGTTAAATACACATGATTATTCTCCTCCCTCCACTCGATCTCCAATGGCCCTCCAGGTAAATCAACGTCGCAGATCTGTCACAATTCCCAAACCAAAATTTTAATGGTTTCAATGAGCGGGTTTTGGCATGGAAAATATCAAAGATTACTGAATGATACTGCAAGAACTATCACTGAATATTCATCATAAATCAACCTTTCCCAAATAATACAGATCTATAGTTTATAAGGCAATACACTTCTTTTGATTCAGAACATATTTGAGTATGATTTTAAAATAGCGAAGCAATTAATATAAATTCAATAATGGTATTTAAGAGAAGAAAGACAAGCAAAATTTTATTGAAAGAATTCATGGTCTGCAACAAGGCGCCCATTAACCAAAAAAATAAGACTAAAGGTCGCCTGGTCTGAATAGATGTTTAATAATTTTTCACATAAAAATATTAATAATTAATAGATTTTTTTAACACCCTGTCGTGGGTAATAATTTCCATGTTGCAAGCATACTCATGACACTAGAAGAAGCAGACTGTATCCCCGTTGTCCCAACCAAATAGGGGTACTTTGCTCAACGAAAAATAAAAAAAGCAAACGAAAAATACTAGCACAAAACTGCAGGTCTTGATCTACAATAACATACTTACCCTCTCCGCACGACCCTCGAGAACTGCTGCAACAACTACGGCACAAGCTCCAGTTCCACAGGCTAGAGTTGCTCCTGCACATTAAGAATTTTAGGAAGGAGCATGCAGATGTAAAAGTCAGACGCAACTTTGATTTCACCAGATGCTGACTAGAGATAATGTCAATGTATTTATCAAATGCATTAGCTTAGATTCTAGTAGTTCTAACCTGCTCCGCGCTCCCAAACACGCATCTTCAGGTGATGACCAGACAGAACTTGAACAAATTCTGTAAATGAAATCACATAACAGACCATACCAATCATGAGAGTTAGGAATAGCCACATAACAAGAGTGATGATCTCACCACAATCATTTAGGTCTTTATACTAGAGGAATGGTCCGTCTCTATGGAAGCCAATTCTTAGGAAATTTCATCCATTGGATTGCTTTAAAATTAGTGCAATCATCTGAAAAATGGTCGCTAAAATAAAATTTTTGAAGAATTATGCCAGGATCTAGTCAGCAGCACATGAGAAGGGTCTTTTGATACAACTAACCACTCGACATATAGTTGCTACTTGCTACTCCCGCCCCACCTTTTTTACCAAACCAAAATGTGGTTTACCCACGAATTCAATGAAGAAATATTAATAAAGATCAAGGGGCCATCAATCGGCAGCATGTTCTGTTCCTGTGACTTTCTATTACCAACCAATACATTCAGCATCATAACCACATGCCCAAGAAGAACTAAAAGGAAGGGGAGAAAAGCCACAAAAGACAAGGGGGGAATGAAAAGGGCAGGAGAAAGAAAAACTATTAAAAAGTTTAAAATAGCATTGCAATCATATTACTAGCCAACACAAACCTGTGTTTGTTCGTGCAGGAAACGCCTTGTGATGTTCAAACTTAGGACCAATTTCTGCTAGCTTCAAATCATCGACCAATATATTCTGTCCACAACGAGCAACAAAATTAACACCATCTACATGCCCAAAGGGAAAGAAAATGTCAAATGTCTGGCACAGCTGTAAGACAGCAGAATGCTTGCATTTAAAACACGTGTCAAGTAAACCCAATAAAAAATTAATGAAATTTAGTAAAAGCAAATTCTTAACAATTTTTCTTTTGATATAGCTGAGTAGTATGTCAGCATCTACAAGTACCTGTATCCTATTACAGGTATATTTCCTTTCAATACACATCAAAGGTCAGAAAACAAAAAACATGATCTAACAATTTTAAGTATGCAACATCTCCAATGCATCTAAATCTAGAACCCTCACCTGACTTTCTTTTGTACCAAACGTTACACAATGTGGGTTTCCCATGCTAACACATGTAACGTTCCAGATAACTCCATCTACGTCTAGCTCTGCCCTAACAACTGAGTGATCCTTATTTGCAGGTAATTTAGTAGGCACATCTGACGCTTTGAGAATTGGTTCCCCCATGTCAACTCTGACCTAAACCATTATCATTGTGTAGCAACTTAGATGAAGGAAAATACCAGATCAGGGACGGAAAGAGACCTCCCTTGCATTTTAAAACCATTCAAAATGGTACTGACTACAGCATTTACGCATGAAAGGCATTTTGGCAGCTGGGTGACATGACCAATATCTTTAAAGTATATAACAACAAAATCCCACATGAGAACATACATTTCCATCCTCAACGATTTCTGGAATAATCAGGCCAGCACCAGTATGTACAGTAAAGCTGCAAGATAAGAAGTAGTAGTTCAATAAATATGAACAGGCATTCGTTATCTAATGATAATTATAGAGGTCCCACTAAACCGTGTCCTAAATCAGTATTGATTATTACCTGCACATGTCAATATTCAATAGTATGATATTAATATAACTGAATTATTCTCTTTCCTGTGATAAAAATCGTTCTTTTCATATCCATCTGTTTAAGTATGCAATAATTACGTTTTTAACATAAACTTCACGACCGAGTAGAAAAAAGAGATCGAAAAAGAAACTCCACCGGTGGTTGTTTTGCCAATAGAAGGGGAAAAAATGGACCAGAACTATATCAGAGCAAAGTAGCATAGAAGGGACCTTACCTTTGCCTACCGCGTAAGCTCTCAAGCTGAGCAACGAATTTGGCAAAACACCGCATTCCATTTCCGCACATCTAAAGATTATAAGGTCAAATTATTAAACATGATGGAATCTATCGTCCAAAAAAACAAAGAAAGAAAGTAAAGAAAAAAGAACCAATCCATCCAGCACTCTCCAAAACTGGAGACGACAAGCATGCCCCTAATTCCAACAAAATGACTCACAGGATGGTAAGATGGGGAAATATAATACTTGAGGCAAGAGAAATCACCTCAGGCTCACTACCATCAGAATTGAAGATTCTCATGGTATAGTCAGCGCCACTGGTGCCAGCCATGACAAAGATAACTCCATCAGCACCAACCCCAAAGTAACGATCACATAGTTGAACAGCTTTATCTGCGCTGATCTTGGGCTTCAGAGAGTCTCTGTTGTCAATCTATTTAAAATCTCTCAGAATGGCAAAATTGATTAAAATCATAATGAAAAAAGAAAAGCAAGAAGCGTAAAAAATTTAGTATGTCAGTTTTCATTTACTGCACCGAATGAGTTCATCAGAGTGATGAATGGGAAGACTCCAAGCAGAGACATAAAACTTACCAAAATGAAGTCATTGCCGAGGCCGTGATACTTGGCGAAATGAAGAAACCCTGTGTCTTTTCTGTCTAAAAATGAAATGGACGAGCTTTTGACGGGGGTTTCAATGCTCGTTGAAGAAGCTATGATGCGAGAACTAGGGCACTTGAACGAATATTGAGGTGCAGGCAAACTGGAAGGGAAAGCAGATAAGGAGGTTGAAGAAGGACGAAGGAGGCGACTGGATGTAAAGGAGCGACGACGGTAGGATGTGAGAGGAAGGGAGATGGTGCCGGCTATGGCCATTTCTGACTCAACAATGGTGGATCCTCCCACTCGATAACCGTTGTCTTTTCTCAGAAACTCCACGGCGTCCTCACTTTGTCAGTCACGAAAGTCAAATATTATGCCAGCCGCCGGTTTTATGTGTGAGATTGCATTTGAATTGGGCCCAAATTATTATCGGGCTTCGATAAAGATTGTAACTTCGAATTTTTGGGCTTTCGTCTTGTAATCTGCCGAATGGGGTCATTTACTACACCTCACAAGTTAATACAGCTCTGATCTTATTTATAAAATAAAAAAATAATTTTATTTATAAAATACTTATTAATTTTTAATATTTTTTATATTTTTATTAAATATTTTAAATAAAAATATCAATAATAAAATTTAATAATATTTATTAAGAATAAAAGTAAAAATTTATTAAATTTTAAAATAAAATGAATTAGATTTAAAGTTTTTTTTCGTTTTAGTAAAATATGTTGAAAATAATTTATAAATAGGGTCAAAGGGAATATCAGTTAAGAATCAAAGAACTATATTATAATTTTAAAATCAATTGATCCTTGATTATAAGATTGTGCAAAAGTCTTTCAGTTTGATCCAATTCGAGACAAATCCAGTCCTATTTGATCCACATAAAAATTGTTCTTATAGGACAAAAAAGACTAGACACTTTTTTTGAGTTGAATTGGATAAGAGACCGACCATCTGAACCATTTAATCTGGTCTAGTCCTATAAATTCATTTAATATGGTTATGATTAATTTATTAATTATTATTACAAATAAGTTAATTTATAATAATAATTAGTACTTTTTTATGTTTTATACTTGTGAAGTCAAAAACATTGAGTAAAATTTCAACATTAACCAACCTCAATCTTCTCCTTTTATTGCTGAATTTGTTATTAAGTTAATGTAATGAACTTAGACATATTAAAGGTTGTTTAATTTAAATCATTTATGTTGTAATTGAAACATTTTTTTATTATTATTGGAGATTGTTGTGGATTTATAATTGTTGTTGTGATAAATTTTATATGACTATAAATAATTTTATTATATTAATTGAGTTCATTATACTGAAGTAAATTGTTATCTCTCATAGATAAAAAAAGAAAAACAAAATGAAGTGAGATATTAATAAGACCAAAATCAATCTTCTAGTCTCACTAAATCAATACGTTCTTTTTCAATTTTAGGCTATGCTAGAATTAATCCAAACCACAGAATTGTTTAATTCAATCATTTTTATTTTGAGTTAGGTTGAAATTTTATAGAGGTTAATCATTTATGCAGTCCTATTTAATTGATATTAATTTACTATTAAGTTCGTTGGTCACTACTTTCCCAATTCTCAACGTCTTTTTGAGGTGGAAAACTATAAAATAAAGCAGATGAAAGAAAAGTGCTTTAAAAAAAAAAAGTAGATGACAGAAAAGAGAGCAGGGGAGTCCCGTACTTTTTCACCAAAAAACAAAAAATTACATCACTCGCTTTCCCATCTAAAGACACTGTAATTTTTCTAATAAAAAAGGATATTGTAATTTATTCAAATCATATATACTTAATTTGTTTAGATCCGTGAGGTGGTGGCCTGGTTAGTCAAACCCAACATTGAGATTTTGGACAGAGACGCTTGAGTAAATTTATTTTAGCCGTTTGGGAGGATGATTACACGAGGCATGAGTTTTACTGATAATATATATCAAGTTATCGCCACTTTGAAGAAGGGACTGTTTGTTCAGAAAAAATATAAAAACAAGATTAAGAGATCTCAGCTTGTAGAAGCTAATTAAAGAATATTTTTTATGAACCAAATCTTTAATTGGCTCTAGTGTATAATACTCCTTCTGTCTCAAATTATAAAATATTTTTAAATAAAAATTTATATATTAATAAATTTTATTAAATATACTTAACAACTTTATCTTTTTAAAATAAAAATATAAACTTTTAAAAATACTTATCATTTAATATACTAAAAAGAGAATAGACAGAAATTGATAATAGAGATAAAAGATAATATTAAAATTAATACATTTAATAAAATTTTAATATACTCAAAGTGTCTTATATTTTAAGATAAAAAAATTTATTTAAAAATATTTTATAATTTAAAATTAAGTATATACCACTTGAATAACTTTTCCAGTTAAGGAAAGTCAGCAATGTAGTTGAGGCTGCCGTGCAATACTTGCAAATATACAGAGTCAGCTCCTTTTTTTTCCCCCTTGGACAAAAACAGAGCCAGCTGGTTGCCAGAGGGAAATGAAAAAACGAAGTAGGAATGAGATAATTCTCTGGAGAATTATATACAAATCTCACTTGAAATAATTAATTATCCTCTGATCTATTGACAAATCAGTTTAAAAAAAATAACAGCACATGCATTAAAGTAATTCTCCCTGATTCTTGCTGAAAAATATATACTCTCTCTCTTTAAAAATATAAAGCATTTTTTTTAAAATTTAAATGTTAAAAATTATAAAACATTTTTAGTATTTAATGTGCTTTTATTAAAAGTGTTCTTAATAAGTAAGTCACTTTACATTTATTAAAATAAAATACCTTATTAAATAGACTTAAATATAAAAATATGATATTAGTTTAAAATAACTAACTATTTTATTTAAATATGATTGATTAAAAGTATTTTATATTTTTTAATAGATATAATATGAGATATTTTCAACGGAGGTCATTCTGGCATCTACGGAACCAACGCCAATATATTTCCCCAACATTTCCCTTTCCTTATATACCAAAAGGCATTCATAGTTTTTTCATCTGTATATAAAATGAGATGCTCGCGGATATATTATAATTAAGTTTACAACATCTCCAAGCGCAAGTCTTATTAAAGATAAAGCCAAAAATTCTAATTATAATATAAATTAAGAATATATAAAATTTAAAATATGTCTAATTAAATAATTTAAACTATTTTTACCGCTTAAAAAAAAAGCTTCATACATGGCTCTTTTTGCCTATATATAACAGTTAACAGTCACTACATATTTAGGTGTTATATATATTGAAGCAACTATATAATCATTTTTAATCACTTATTGTTTGACTTTATAAAACGATTGTTTTTAAATGATCGTTATATATTTTGTTCTAGTTATAAGAAATTTTAGTAATTTAATAAACTATGCAACGATTTTTTTAAAATAACCGTTTAATTATCATTAACGGTTCTTTTATAAAAACTGTTACAAGTTGGGCACAATGGTTAACTATATAGTAGCTTTTTTTTTTTTTCGAAACTATATAGTAGTTATTTTAGAATAACTGATATATAATTTAGTTTTTTTTTAAAAAAAAAGTAAAGGGGTGACCATTCTAACAGCCCCCTCCAATGACAATATAGGCAATAGGCAGCAACAATTTATTAAATTCAAAATGAAATTAAATTTCATATGCATTGGTCATTATTTTAATAATCCAACTTTATTTTTTAAAAATCTATTTGCAATTATTTCAATATTGTCAGAAGCAAATGCCTGTTCATTAAACTGATTCAAGGAAAAATGGCCAAAAAGTTAACCAAAAATCAAAATTTATGGCTAAAGTAACTGTATTTTACTTAATCATGATGAAAAAATCCTATAATAAAATCATATTTATTAAGCAATGAGCCAGTGTGAGCAAAGTGATCATCCTCCTCATACTCGTTGCTTCAATAAATCATGGGTCAACTCTTTGATGACTTCTTCAATTTGAGCTGGATTATATTCATTAACACATGCATCCTTGAAGTATTGTTAAGCTAAACATAAAATAAATCAAGTTTAAGTATGTGATAACATAATGTTAGTTATTAAATTTAATAAAGGAGAAGCAAGATAAACACTTGGTCAAGCAAAATTCCATCAACTAACACATGTTCAACTGTGTCTTTCATGTAATTCATGATACTGTAGCTACAATCTTTAACCTCGTCATGTTGTTTTGGATGTTTTTTGATCAAACAAAAAAGGTAAAATTAGTTATAATATAATAAACTTAATTTGATGAGATAAATTTAAAGTAAATGTATACCTTAACTATCTTCCATTCAAATACATCATCAAAAGTAAAAAATGTTCAAATAAAAGGCAACTTTTTACGGTTTTGTAACTTCTAAACTACCTTACATGATAACATGAAGCTTTATATTGAAGATCACATGGAAATAATAAATTGCATATATGCAAAAAAAAAAAACATTATTTAACTTACTTATTAAATTTGAATATGATGTGTTTCTAATTTTTCAGTTGTCTTTCAATAGGATTGAGGTACCATATGATGCCTCTATATAAACTGAGCAGCAATAGCATCCAGTGACCTCTATTACAATGAGCACATATACATTAGCATATATTATACAAAAATAACTTGATTAAAAAAATTTAAATATGACTATTACCAAAAAGATTCATGCGCCACAAAATGATGCCAACAAAATTTGATTAGTCAATGACGTGTGATAAATTTTGATTAGTCCAGAACAAATGTACAGTAATACCACAACTCCATTTTCAAATAATAAAATTAAAGTTTGTAACCCAATGTCATCCTTATTTGAGGCCAAAAAAAAAATCATCATAATCAAAAACCAAGAACTAAAAACTCAAAAAATAACCCAACATGGAAAAAGCAATTAAAAAACTTCATAATGCAGAGCACAATTCATTCTATCAGGTATATCAACACACATATACATTGTGATATTGGGAGATTAGGTTCTATGAGTTCGTTATATTGGTAAATTCAACATATAAATAAAGTAAATTTAACAAAATTAAGGTTCAAATTATTAAATATATTGTTTTTATATTAAAAAACACATATACAAAGGAGCACAAAAATAGAGGAAGACGGTAGTATATACACCATATATATTTAAAGAACCAAACAAAACTAAGTAAAAATGATAATGGGGGAAAACTAGGGATAAAAATCACCAACCTAACACTGAACAATTGAAGAAGATATGAGGCACACGAATGGACACCCAACATCCACCAATGATGAAAATCCAATAAAATTGACTAGAAGACCCGCAACAGAGGACAATGAAGGCATAGAACAATGGGTTTGGCTGAAAATCACTTTCCGAGAGCAATGGGGGTGGTTTTGTGAGGAGTGGGAGAGGTTTGCGGGAGGAAAAGAGAGTTTGATGTTTTTCAAAATATAATGTTTGCGAAAAGATTTTAAATGAGACTATTTATTGGTTATTTTTAAATAACCAATAAATAGTTTCTAGATTAAAAAAAATTAAAAAAGGTACAATATAACAATTACTAGAGGTAACCACTATATAGTTTTTTGAAAAAAAAATTAAAAAGATAGAAATTATATAACGGTTTTTCATTTTAATAGTTATATAGATCCAAAGACTATATTATCATTATCTTATATAATTATTATTTAGCTAGTATTTCAAATCAAACCGTGCCTCCTCCATATAACAGTTATTGAAATAACCGTTATATATATGACATTATATATGAGCTTTTTTTATTAGTAGTGTTTGGTGTAGTAAACTACCTTCAATTACACTTAATATAAAGAGTTTAATATAATATCATGAGTCATTCAATTATAAAAAGAAAAAATGAATGAAATTAAAGATAAAAAAATAAGAGATTAGAAAGAAAGAAAGAGGAGGAGGAGAAAAAGAAGAAATTGAAAGGATTTGATGTCTCTAAGATTAAAAAAAAAATACAAGTCTAGTCAAGAAGAGGAAAGAAAATTAAAAAAATTGAGAAAAAAAGAAGAAAAATAGTAAATAGAATACTGAAGATAAAGCAAAAAATCTCACGGCTAAGTTAGAAAATAAATTAAAATTTAAGAATATATAAAGTTTAAGGTGTATCTAACTAAATAATTTAAACTATTTTAGTGAAATAAATTATACTCAGCCACACTTAATATAAAAAGTTTAATATGTCTAAGGAAGACAGAGAAAATTCATTTCTTTAAAATTGGTTCATCAGCTACCTGTTTAGTTGATGACTTGCACTCGATTCAAATCAGTTGGAATAGAAGAGGGTTTGGGTCGACCCAGTGCGTGTTAATTTGTTGCATACGTAGTATCAGTGTCTCAGATGCACTTTGGCAAAACAAGGGGTGTTGATCATATGTCCGTGAATAAAGCTTTATCAGTTCAGACATGGTGTCCCAACATAGTTTAACCTGACGACGACGACAGAGACAATCACAACAAGCTTTTATTTTATTAAGTATCATTAGTTACATAAATTATACATGCTATTATATTTTATCATCAATTAAACTTTTAAAAATATTATTAATTAAAAAGTTTACTTATTTTATGAGAATTGTTTTTGCTCTTCCATAATTTGACAATGAAGGACGATCATTTTGGGGGACAGAATCCCTATAACCACGGGAGGACCACGATCCACGCAATCCCGGTTCCATTATTAAAATATGTCCATAGAAGGTTGTCTCTTCAACCTCACAGGAAAAGGTCACCCACCCGACCAGCCATTGCTTTGTGTCATCGCTTAATCTGCTTCCTCGCTTCGTCTCTCTGAATTTCATCCCCTTTCAGCTATAGAAGCCAAGCCATGCCTCATCTCTGGACCCCTCACAACCAGGTTCTTCTTCTTCTTCTTTCCTCTCTATGCACACTCCATCATGGTTTTGTTTATAAATCTGTAAGAGCTCAGTGGAGGGAAAAAGGACGACCAAACAAACTATCTTAGATATTACGGTTCTTATTTAGTCACTCCGATCCATTCCTAATTTACACACCCCTGATCATTGAAAACAAGTTATGCACAGTGTCAGGTTAAAATTAAAAGTTCATAATCGATGTCTATTCCGCGTCCTGATGAACAAAGTTGCAGATCAATAATAATTCTTGACTCAAATTTGGTACAGTTTTTATAGTTTAAAGAAGATAGAAAATCCGAGATAGCTAGGGAATTCTAAAAGAGCTCACGCTTCAACTTCCCTTACTGGCTCTTCATGCACTGTTATTTATGCTGTGATGCAGTTATACCAGAGTGGCTAGATACATGACACGCGGCACACAAGCTAGGGAAGAAATTAATACAACACGTGTAACTTGGAGCTAATATACAACTGTGAACTTGACTGGTCTAGCGGGAAACAAAAAATAACTAATAATACACAGACAAATCAATACCAGTTGGATTAATTAGATCAAACTTAATCCTCAACATATATCATCCCTTGGTGGATCAGGATGACTATGTCTTTCCAGTTTTCACCCAGGTGATTAATTACAGGCTTAAGCGTACGTGCGACTTTTTGAAACCGATATATCATATGCGACACAATTATTGTAACGAGTAACGACTCATTAACTATCACATACATACTTGTTTGTCCTTGTATGTTCCGTTTTTTAAAATCACAAGATGGAGAGAATCAGCTAACAGTAGGAGCTAGCTTAGCAAGCCTGCTAAAGTCTTTATTTTTGCACTTATATTCTGATCTCAAGATAATATTTCTTAGTTGCGAGTTTCTGAGGGGCTAAAACAACTCCATTTGCTAATGACAGTGTATAGATGAGAATAAGCATAAGCCAATGTGCACCAAATATGGATTTCGATCAGCAATGGCGGAAGGCAACACGCAGGTTATAAGGAAATACGAGGAGATCATCAGAATCTTAATGCAGCAGCTAAAAACTGTTTGCCAAGAAAGAGATGAAGCAAGGCATCACATTCAAGTCCTACTAAGAAAATTGCAGCCATGTATTCCACGGGACACGAGCAAGAAATCATCAATGAGCACGAAGCAATGTTCAAATATGAACCATGAGTCGGTCATCACTTCTCATTGTGATTTATCTCTGGCCAGTGACAGAACAAAGGAGTCATCAGATTATGTTGGTCTATCTAGAGACATTAATTTGGTTGATAGTCTGGTTTGTGGCAAACCTTTACCTCAGAAAGGTAGATTGCTACGAACTGTGACAGAGGCTGGTCCTTTGCTTCACACACTTCTGCTTGCACCGCTTCCACAGTGGCAAAACCCTCCTCCTCTTGACAATGATAATAACGAGGTCGATGATGTTATTCCCACTTCTTTGAGTTTAGCATTTCATGGGAATTCTCGAATGTCTTCACCGTCTATGGATGTAAGTCCAGATATCATGCACCGTAATCATAATTTTTCTGGAAAGAAGAGAAGGCTTCTGTGAGGGTTGACTGCTGGCTCTGTTCCCCTCCCCTTGTAATCTCTTGCCTAGCTCTTGTGTGTTTGTGTGTGTGTGTGTGTGTGTTTGTGTGCGTGCGTGCGTTTGTGTGTGTGTGTGTGTGTGTTTGTGTGTCTGTTTATGTGCGTGAATAATGATCAAAGTCTTTACTTTCCATTGCTAAAGAACTGACGTATCTAATAATTTTTCCAGATTTTGGATATCTATCTGTATATATATCGCTGCGGTTATAACAGGTGCTTGTATTGCGATGGCTGAAATGCTTGAACATTATTTTCTCTAACAAAGGAAAGCCATACATTCGCATTCTACACGTATATACAGTTGCCTTCAAGGCCACATACATTGGTAATAGTGAGGGGATCATGTCTTTAGAAACTCTGATTGCAAATGTCAAGATCGACAAAGCCCGCGGCTTCAAGCACAATTTTTGCTTTGAGAAAGCTTCAAAAATAATAGTGTCCATTTGGTTTTCCCTCCACCAAAAGTCTTAGCAAAAGTCAATTATGGTAATGAATCAATTTATCTTTAAATATATTTTTTCAAAAGTTGATTTAATAAATAATTTTCAAATATTCTTGAAAAGTTTTCACCTTAGCATATTTGGATAGGAGTGAAAATTGATTGGCAAATCCTAAATCAGAGGATAATCATGTTATCATCTTGAGTATTAGCCTGCAGTTATGTTTGGAGGTACTCCTAATTGATCCAGCTTCTAAGAATAAGTCCAGCAGGCCATAATAAAATCGCGCTCTTGGCAAATATGGAATAGCATATAAGAAGAATTAAAATTAAGTTTCATATAAAGAAATTAATTACTATAAAATCTATTGACAATTGAACTAAATTATATTAACATCTGATTGTGTTGTCAATACAGTTTAATTCAATTGTCAATAGACCTTATAGTAATTAATTTTCTTGTGTGAAACTTTAATATAATTCTTCCTAGCATATATTTGAGTAATAAATTTAAATCCTCTCCATGTTTTCCTAATTATCAATGTAATTTAGTTTAATTATTAATAAATCTTACAGTAATTAATTTTTTTGTATGGGATCTGGTTGTAATTATCCCTAACATATATTTGATTAATGAATTTAAATCCTCTCCATGCTTCTCTTTCCATGCGCAATATCAATTGTCCATTTGATTTAATGGTATAAAATCGTTATTAAATTAAATATATTATTCATTTATTATTATTATTATTATTATTATTATTATAAATAAGTTTTTTATCTTCAAAAGCAGTGATAATAATAAATAAATTTGTAAGAAAAAAAATTAAATAAATAATTAAATATATAGTCTGATGAGATTGAAAATGATTCCCGCACAGTAGGTCTTGCATCTTAATTTGCAAGAAGTTCCAACACCATAACAACGTGAGCATATTCCACATTTCATATGATGACCCTGCATGTGTTATTAGAAGGAAAAGTGAACTTGTATATTTCTATTATTCTCCATCTTCCGATTTTAGGTACTGTAAACCAAATATTCATGAGATAGACTGGCCAAAAGAAGAAAAAGCCTAACATTTTGGCACGCTCCTTCTTCTAAACCTAACGTCTGGCTACGCTCTTCTAAATATGAATGCGCATTAACTGAACTCAAGCGTCCCCGTGGCTTCTGTTTCCATGTATCCTGGTTCTTCCACAAAACGGACGACTCAATTTGCTCAATATCATGTGGACTATGGTAATGGCGCCTTTGTTTTTTTTTTTTTTTTTGGGGGGGGGGGGAGCAGTGTGCGTGAAAGAGAAATTTTTGTTAAAATTCGGAATACAGATTGCAGATTCATCATAATAGAGTTACAAAATTAAAATTAAATTATAAATTTTTAAAATTTAACACTTAAAATTTAACTTGAATTAATTAATTCTTTTGAAAATTCCTTATCATTCTCCCAAAAATATAAAATATTTTTAGTATTTTAAGGTATGATTAATTTTTTTAAAAAAAAATACTTTTAATAAATGGCAAGCATGTTTAACTTATAAATCTCACTCTAATAAATTAGTTAATAACTGTCTTCAAATTGACATCATATTTATATATTTATTCTTATTTAATAAGATTTTTCACTTAAAAGTAAATATGAAATGATTTATTTATGAAGAATATTTTTAAAAAGGCACATTAATTATATTTTAAAATATTAAAAAATCACAATAATTATACTTTAACATCTAACGGTGCAAAAATTGATTTACATTTTTTTTCAACGGAATATTTGCATAATCTGATAACTACATTAATTTGTTGCGTCCGTCTTTAATTTCTTTCAGAATATATGATTGTAGATGATATAATTTCATAAGTATTACGATATGTTAGCTCGTAACTCGAAACAAAATTAATAGTAACTATAAAAACACGGTCCATGTTGCCTTGATTATGAAAAGTAAAACACTTGACTTCCTCGCTCTCATTTTCCTTCAATCTCCATGCCCTTCTGAAGAGAGACGAAACTAACTAACGTTAGTTAATACACAATTAAAAGATACCCTACTTTACTTGTGACTTATTCACTAATGCAGTACTTCATTGTACAATATATATAAAATCTGTGTGTGTGTCATACATTCAGAAAGCCGTACGGTTTATTTGGAAGAAACTAGTACAGTTTGACAAGGGGATATCATCGTCACCAGCATGCCGACATTGTACAAGAGTTGGATATGCTGTGACCCCATTTATAATTAATTTGTGCATTTTATCATCTTCCGAAGCTTCCATATAAATGCAAATTCTGGCCGCTGCTTGTATTATACAACGAACAAGGATAGGCTTCGCAAGACTAGACGAGATAAGCCTCTCATTATTCTCACATGTGAGATCATCATTATGTTAAAGTAAATGCTTGATTTTGAATATCAGATAGTGCAAAATACTTTGAATATATTATTCAAATGACGACACTCACCACTGTATATGTATAGCGAGGTTGGCACACATAATCATGTCAACATGCTTTACCCCTAAAATAATGCTATAAACTTTTGAGGCCGGGACAAAATTGTACTACTGCAATTAAATAATTAGATTTTTAAAATTATTACTGAAAGATTTTATAAATTTTATAAAATATTTTTAAGTTTTAAATTTTATATAATGATATTTTGATTAAGGATATTAACAATTAAACAACGATTATTTATAATTTATAAGAAAAAATGAGTGTAATAAATAGTTATTATCTAATTATCAAATATTTTTAATTAAATTGTCAATACATGAGATTTAAAATTTGATAATATTTTATAAAATTTATGAATGAAAATAAACTTTTTTTTTTGAAATTTAAACGTAATTTTTCTTAGATTTTTTCCTGCTATGATTGATTTTTTTTTCTTTCGACAAGTATATTTTAATTCTAAAAAAAGTTGCATTATAAATATTCATTATCGAAGCCATGATTGCTTTTAGGCCAGCTAAGCGATGATGGTTTTTCTAATATATACTATTAACATTGATGTGTTTGTGGAGTCGATAATTTTAATTGAGTGATGTAAGTCCCCTCGCTCAATAAATATTTTATGTAACATGAGAATAACTGTTCGGTGCAATCGAGCGACTGTAAAATATGTTTTACATGATGTTCATATAATACTCAAAAAGTATTATCTCTTAATTTTTGGAGGGAGCAACATATGTGAGGAGTATGTTGATCCTAAAAATTATTTTAAATTTTTATTTTGATAATTTTTAAGTATTGACAACATTCAATACTCTCTTAGTTTAAAATATAAAATATGTTTAACTGATTCTTACCTCTTATTAAATACCTTATAATAAATATAAAGTCACTATTAATAAGGGTACTTTTAAAAAAATAATTATTACACTTCAAAAAATTAAAAATATTTTATATTTTTTTAATATCTAATCTTTCAAAAAATATTTTAAATTTTTAAATGGAGTGAGTAGTTATAATTGATATACTCACTGAATCAAAATCTGCATAAAGAAATGGTGAGGGTCTTTGGTATACTGTGTTGTAAACCCAACCAGGATGGCAAGATCACCATTTAAACCTGTCAATTAAGGGTCTTTTTGAATTATGTTCTCATTTTTTTTATTTTTAAAAATTGTTTTGTAATATAGTTTTCAGAGTAAAAATTCATTTTATTATGTTAATTTTAAAAAAACTTTTAGAATTAAAAAATATAATGATAGTAATGGTTATATGTGATTAATAATGATGATTTATGATAGAACTTGATTAAGATAACTATAATTTTCAATAATCAAATATAGTGTATTTTAAAAATAAAAATAAAATGAAAATAACTTAAAATTTTACAGTTTTGAAAACGATTAGATTAAAAATAATTATCAAATAAATTTTTAAATTTCTTTATTTTTAAAAATAAGAAAGTAAACTGGACCTAAAGATCCTTAATTAATCTGTTCATTTAACTGTTCGTGATTTGGCGTCTGGTTTCTAAATGTATATGTTTCACATCGCGTCCTTTTTTATTCCTTGGCCTTTCAAGGCATAGAATATAACAGCCCATTTGAATTGACAATATGGTCAACTTTTAGGGCTAAATAATTGATTTTTGGACAAATTACCCAAACAATCAAAAAAAATTAATTATTAATTATTAAGTCAAAATCACATTTTGAAATAAGTTTAAAAAGTTACTTATAAATTTAATTTTACTATTAAATAATATATTTTACTTCTTAAATACAATTTAGCAAATTTAATAATATCAAATACAACTTTATCAATAATTTAATTTAAAAAAAAATATCTTTTATAATAATTTATACAGTTAAATTTAATTTCAATATCCAAACATATTACATTATAATATAATTAATTATAATTAAAATTAATTATGTTAATAAATTATTTTTATAATTAGTTATACTCAACTCAAATCAAAACAATCCTTAATATATGTATTTTTGTTCAAAAGTAAAAGAGGGTGGGCACAGCTGGCACGTTATTCACGTTAATTATATATATATATATAAGGTGCGCCTCACACTAATAAAAACCAACAAATTTCTACTACATGCAAGGTAAGTCAAATCTATGTAGAAAAAATTACAGTTAGATTCTAAAAGATTAATTTAATTATAATTACTCCCTTAACAAAATTTTATGATTAAAATATATATGGCCTCCTCATTTGTAAGCGTTTAAAATTAACATCGATGATCTGGCCAAAAAAAATTAACACCCATGACATTTAATTTTATTTTTCA